AAGCTCTTTTAAGGTAGTGGATTCAAAATGTAATGCAAAGTATTTACATGTCTCTGCTATTAAATAGTGCAGCTATTTTCTCTGCAGCACAATTACCCATTGCATGGTATGGCCTCAAACACAAAGAGTGAAATGTTACAATTAACCCCATAGTCTGGGTTAGTTGTAACATATCCTGGGGTGAAATGTAACACAATGAAATAAGGGTACTAACAAAACATTAACATGTAATCTTTGTTTATTCAACACATGAATGCACTTACATCCATTTATGTAGCTGTGTGTGTGTGTGTGACAGAATGCAGAAATCTAGCTTTTGAACATATTCCAACCCCCCAAAAAAGACAAATTATGGAATTTTCTGCAACTGAATATTTCATTAATTTTGGTTGGTCTTCCTTGAGTTTGGCCTCATTGGCTCAGTGGGCATTATAACCTACAACTCTTGCACCAATTTTGAACATAACAATGAAGCTGAAAAAATGTAGTTGTTCACCAGCATCGCAATTCCATTACTTTTTATCATGGCTTACCTTGGTGTGGTTTGCAAAGTGCTTCAGAAAGATGAGGAAATCTGTTTCTTGCACCCATCCTGATTTATTTCCACTACCAGTACTTCCTACTGGTCCATCTCTGACACAGTGGTCTGCATAATGTATGTGTGGGAACACAAACAGTGGAGGAATTGTGTTGCCAATGGCATTAACCGCATATACAAATGCGACCAGTGAACCTCTCTCTGCTGATGTCGTTGCCCCAACTTGTTTAATATAAGTTAAAGTAATAGTGTGGTAAGTTGTAACATCTGCATTATTGTTACAACTAACCCAGACTGTTGCTGTTACAACTGACCCAGACTCCTATAGCCATGAACTAGCTAACATTACAGCCAACGGCTAAAACATTAGCACTAAAGACCTACACAGAATATATCCCCATAGACATACAAATAACATAATTTAAGTTTGATGAGTTTAACTGCAAAGCAGATAATGCTATTAGAAATTGAAATAAAGTAGAAAAACTTACTTTTTGGCATACAAATTACTTTTTTTCGTGTTAAATTGTCTGTGTTTGACAAAATGTGCTGATTTTTCACATGTGATAGCAGAACTGAATTGGGCATGCACAGGATGAGTCACATCATTTGAAACTTAGCCCTGATTGGAGAAATTGGAAGTGTTACAACTGACCCACGTTACAACTATCCCCGGTCTCCCCTATGTTATTCATCTGTGTGATACTATTGTGAACCACTTTCACCTCTCCTGTCCTGTCTTTCTTATCTTTCTCCATTTCCATGTGATGTTAGCTCCCTTTCTTCTCTCTCCCTGTGAAAAACAGCAGCTGAACCTTTAGCTAGCAAAAAGAAAACACCGTCCCACTTTTAACCCCTGAGTTTGTAAACACGTCTGTCTCTTTTTATGCAACAACCTCTGGTGATTAATATAAGAAACAAGACTTAGCCTTTCATGTGTTTCTGTTTAGGCTCAAATCTATTTAACGGTTGGAGGTTTTCTCAGTGTTCATCAGTGCGTATGTGGCACTGTGGCTTAGTTGGTTAAAGTGCCTGTCTAGTAAGTCTTAAACTAGAAAACAGGAGATCCTGGGTTCAACTCCCAGCAGTGCCTAAAACATAGTAGTTTTGTCTGTTCTCAGTCATCCAGGGCCTGTTAGTCTAAGGAGCTTTGAAAGATGAGTGTCTGGATTCCTTTAAGGGACACATCCCTCTGGTGTATAAATACCTGGGACTCTCCACCTTTCATTTTAGCAAGGGTCTCAAACTCACGGCTTACCTCCCTCCTACTTGGGGCCCGTATATTGACCTGAAGAAATATAATGCAGTTTGGCCATTGAAGTTACTTTTGTTGTTATGGAGGGTTTGTTTGTTGTTGAGTGCAATGTTAAAATAAGTTCTTTAAAAAGCACAAAATGATTTAATATGAAGGCAAATGAGCAGAGAGCACAAACTTGTTGAGGGATTGGCTGTTAGTTCAGTGCGAGAGTTATTTGTAACGAAAACTATTTTCATTAGCAGTCAAAACTAATGTGTACACTTAGAGACCATTTTGACGTTTGACCAGAGTGCTCTCTCGGCTGCAGCGTAATATTAAAATCCACTTCAAAAGACGCTCATCACATATTTATAGTTTTTTAAAAAAACTTCAATGACACTGGCCAGAAAGAGAGTACCAAGTTGTTTGTTTGGTAGTTCAGTGAAAGGCTTCAGTTAATTAAGAGTGCGAAAATAATTAATTCAGCTTTGCAGTTTTGTCTTGTTATTCAATATTCGAAAATAAAAAACGAACACAACACTAGATTTTTGGAAATATTTGTGGATGTTTTCTACTTGGCCAAGGCCAATGAGGTCATTCATATCAGATCTCTTAGCTAGCCCCTAAATCAGTTACTATGGGAACATGTGTGATTTGCAGCTGTAGAGAACATCTCACTGATTGCTGGATTAAATAGAGGCTAAACAACATTTTGGTCATGTAGACAACATATGGGCTCGTCCGGGATTTGAACCCGGGACCTCTCGCACCCTAAGCGAGAATCATACCCCTAGACCAACGAGCCACATAAAAATATGCAGTCTTTTTCCAAAAGTCACATATCAGAGCAAATACAGCGGCATGTATGAAAGATTGTCTTGAAAGCTACCAGTCAAAAGTTTTATCTACAATATAGAAAAACCCTGACAATGTGTGTCCAAAACTGAAGACGTCAAATAAATGAAGCAAGAAATATGGAATCATGTACCATCAAAAAGAATGATAAATAACTAAATATGTTTTAAATTTTAGATTCCTGGAAGTAGCCACGCTTTGCTTATTTTACAGTGCCACAAACCCTCAGCCTTCTGTCAATGAGCATCATGATATATGAAATGGTTTTCACTTCACAGATGTGCCTTTTTAGGGTTCATTTGTAGGATTTCTCTTTAGCACATTTTCACATGAACGTCATACATCACCCAGAAAAGCATCAATCACAAACCTATACTCTGCGTTTTTTCAACTCGCTGCAGATGTTTGACCGGCCCATGCCACCAAGCAGCAGCCATTATAAATTCAACCTCAGTGATTTCCACCCTGCTATTAATGTTAACAAGCTCGGGCTTCACAGTGCAAATTTTAAAAGACAGCGGAGAGCCTTGCCAACAGCTCCTTAAGCTCTAATTGGAGAGTACAGTTGTATAAACATGCAATTAGACTTAAATAACATATTTCAAGAATTTAATTGTGGGATGGAAAAAAACAACAAAAAACGATTTAGATATCAATGAGTTTTTAAGGACACTTCAAGTTAGGCAAATGAAGAATAACATGGATTAAAATACAAGTGTTGCTCTTTATTAACCTGTTGCATTGGCGAATCAATGTTAGCTATACAGGTGAACAAACTCAGAGTGGGTAGAGTGAGGCTTTGTTACACCTTCTCTCTGAACACATCACCAGGTAATTTTATCAGCGCAAGCTCATCTAAAAATGTCAATAACTGATCAAATGAACCAGGACAATGAGGAGAGTCATGAAGTTTATTAGAAATAACCAAATGAAATCATACAAAAGCAGCCTGTGTGAGTGACTTTTTTCAAGATCACTACACACGCACACCCATTTCCTGCTCAAAAGTACTCCACAACTAAAACTCTCCACCAACTACTAACTTTGGTTATGGAGTTGATAAACAAATGTATTCATACATAATAATAATATGGATCTGTGTGCACAACTCTGTTCACAACAATCCCAATTTGTACTCCACCATCATGTGTGGCTCACCCATCACTTCACTGTGGGCTGGATCTACAAAGGAAAAAGACAAAAGCACAGTATAAGCCATGGTTTCACGTCGACACACATATCACTGAAGGTGTAAAAGGGAAGGACAAGGTTCCCACCGTTGAGGACGTCTTCAAATCCAATGGACTCATCGCTGTTTCGCAGCGTATCGAGAGCCAAATTTGAGCTCTGTAGGAATGGGAGACGCTGGATCTGGAGGGAAGAAACAGTTGGTGTCAGGACTGAGAAGGAGAAAGAAAAAGAAAACACGAGAACACCTGAAAAAGGACTGCAGCTACCTGTCGGGCCGCCCTGTACTCCATTTGCAGTTTTAGAGGAGCGTGAAGACCCTGGATGTTTCTGAGTGTTGAGAAATTCATCTTATCCTGGTTCAACTGGAACTGCTCATAGAGAAACAGAAAACAGTGAGATACCCACAGAAACGTATTTTTACTACTTGCACTTTGTGTCTATTGTGATTAAACTGAGCTGCATTTGACAAAAAAGTAATTTTTATAGTAAAACCAAGCACAGAACACAAATACCATTTAAGCATTTCATGAAAACAGCATTAATTGGTTTAATGACTCACATTTTTTTCTGACAGCTCCAGCGGGTGGCTTGGAAGCAGTTCATTCTTAACACTGGTAAATCTGTTTAATAAAAGTAGAAGAGAAAAAACAGTATTACGAAAAGCACATTGTTCTTTATTTGGGGGCTAATACAACAATGTGTTTTTGGAGGTTAGCATGCAACAGAGTTTTATTTTTAACAGTTTCTCACCCACTACGGAGGGAGTCCTGCACTCCGTAAGCTCCCTGTGGAGAGAACCCAGCCACAGGTACACTGTCCTTAAGCTGAGAGCGAAGTCCTCTGGAATTCTGTAGTCCACATCAAAGACATACATAAACCATTTACATTTGATAACACTTAGCTAATGGCTATCTAATGTAGCTAATAGCAACAAATACTGGAAGTTGTATTTATCTAAGGGACCTTGTGGCTAACCTAAGCGCTAGCTGGCATTAGCTCGAGTGACTAATCAAATTCACAGCTACTCAGTTTGGGCACGGTTAAAGACAAACAACTTCACCACCGAGACCTCAAATGATCACACAGATTATAAAGCAGAGAGAGTACGCAACAACAAGGTTTAAGATATTTAAAAATATGGTATAGGGATTAAAAACGCTATCATACCATTGTCACTTCGTTTGTTCCCCTTTCCTTTCGATACACTGCTGTATCCGGTAACGTCTCGTTTTGATGACGACACATCCGCTGATAGCTTATGTACAGGATCACGTCTTTCCAGTTAAACAGACAATGGTGTGCTGTACAATATGTAAAGTATACGAAATCAATTCGTTATCATTTAATTGAAGATATAAACATAAACTCTATGCCAACTTCGTATGGGGGAATGATTATGATCATGATAAATACGTATGCGTCCTCAGTGCTTAAAGTGAGGGGGTATAGCTCAGTGGTAGAGCATTTGACTGCAGATCAAGAGGTCCCCGGTTCAAATCCGGGTGCCCCCTGTTTTTCAGTTTTGCGTTAGTCATTTGCAAAACTTTAATTTGTCACCTTAATGACAAGTAAAGCTTTTGGAATTTAATAATAATAATAATAATAATAACAGCCAGAATACAAGTAAGGCTGACCTTTAAAATGCACTTCTCTCTACAGTGCTACAGTGTGTTATCACAATGAGCTGAACACCCTCAGATATCAAGCTAAGAAACACAAAAGGCATAAATACAGTTAGGACCAGTTGGGATTGTCATTTTGCCTTCATATACCACCAGCATATATTTGAAATTGAACAGTCAAGATACAAACACGTGGGATATCAGCTGTATGTTGATTTGCAGATGTTCATCATCAGCAGCAATTGTTGGCAGTCTGACTGTCTGGAATTCGGAATGTGGTTTAACACAATGTTACTGTAACAAACTATAGTCTACACACTAACAAGTCACTCATCTGTGTGCATGTGGCACTGTGGCTTAGTTGGTTAAAGTGCCTGTCTAGTAAGTCTTAAACTAGAAAACAGGAGATCCTGGGTTCAACTCCCAGCAGTGCCTAAAACATAGTAGTTTTGTCTGTTCTCAGTCATCCAGGGCCTGTTAGTCTAAGGAGCTTGAGAAGATGAGTGTCTGGATTCCTTTAAGGGACACATCCCTCTGGTATAAATACCTGGGACTCTCCACCGTTTCATTTTAGCAAGGGTCTCAAACTCACGGCTTACCTCCCTCCTACTTGGGGCCCGTATATTGACCTGAAGAAATATAATGCAGTTTGGCCATTGAAGTTACTTTTGTTGTTATGGAGGATTTGTTTGTTGTTGAGTGCAATGTTAAAATAAGTTCTTTAAAAAGCACAAAATGATTTAATATGAAGGCAATATGAGCAGAGAGCACAAACTTGTTGAGGGATTGGCTGTTAGTTCAGTGCGAGAGTTATTTGTAACGAAAACTATTTTCATTAGCAGTCAAAACTAATGTGTACACTTAGAGACCATTTTGACGTTTGACCAGAGTGCTCTCTCGGCTGCAGCGTAATATTAAAATCCACTTCAAAAGACGCTCATCACATGTTTATAGTTTTTTAAAAACTATTTAAAACTAACAAAAAATGTCACACAGTGATGTCTACTTATATGACAGACTAACAAGGACTGTAAACAACTGCAAGTTTCAGACTTTATTAAAGTGAATACTGCGACAATAACAGTGTGGCACACTCCACTTCGAGACTGCACAGTTTTAACATAAATCATGTTTGTTCTACTGCGTTTTCATCAGCGAGCTCGTGTGGATCTAACCTGGGTGGGTGAGAAGGGCCATCTGTAGGACATATGAGAAAAAGGTGATGAAGAAAAAAGGAAGACAGAATAGCATGAGACTGGATTATCAGGATAATGCAAAGACTTCCAAAGCAACATACTGTACATGATGTTGCCATGTTAGCTGTCAATTTAAAAAAATCAGATGGCAGTACAGAATACAGTATTTAGGGAATATTTTTACCTTTGCTCAGCTCAGAGGAGTAACTGCAGGCCAAATGTCTCCATTCCTCCATATACCTGCACAGGCAAGAGAGGAAAATTCATACTCGGGCCCCCCATGATGCAGGAAATTATGAGAAAGATTACAAATGCCATAAACATTCTAATCAGAGTGCCTTACTCCTCGAAGTTTAGAGTGTTGGTCCAGGCCAGCAGCTCATCCAGCTCCCATTCCAGTATTTCATCATCTCCTTTCTTTTCAACTGTCTCCATCAATTCCTGGGTGGAACTCTCCACCAGGGCCGCCATGTGTCTGTGCTCTGCATGATCCTGCAGACGACCCTCTTTATACCTGTATGTAAGGAACAGGAGTGACAGCTCATTTAACACAACTAAAACAACACACCATTATGTGTTTGTTAGCAAAGATGTGATTCTATAAGGGGGAGGTTTCTATCACTATTAATAAGTAACACACACAAACTTCAGATTGCATGTACATTATTGAGATCACTGATGCTACAGTGGTTTGCTCACCAACTGTTTCATTTCACAAAAACATAAAGCACTTACATCTGCTTCAGCCATTCAATTTTCTTTCTTTTCCTCCAACTCTCTAAATCTTGATTCCGCTGCAACTTGGAGTAATGAAAGTCCATTTTTTTTGTCAGCACCGATCTCTGCAGGCTCACGTGCCAAAACCACCTAAGAGAGAAGACGAAGCAAAAAAACCCCAAAACAGACTTGGAGAACTTCGGCTTTTAGAGGCTTCCTGTTAAACAGCATTTGTAAACTTGCTGTAGCTCTTTGGCTCCCTGTTTCTAAACAAATGGCAGAACTTGACTAAAGCAGAACAGAAAATCATTTTTGTTCCTCACCTTGTTACAGAACAGCCTCCAACTATTGTTCTCCATGCGCTTGTACCAACCTGATTGGTCATCCTTTGCGACAGCTGGGCCTTTGTTGGTCTTCTGGGCCACAAGCTTCCTACGACTTTGCTTGGTGTAGTCTTTTGGGCTGCCTGCACACACATCCATAATGGGCTGATGGGTGAAGATCTTGTAATAAATATCAGGAGGAAAGTTGATCTAAAATGGCAGAGAGGTTAGCCTTAGAGAGGAAGGCATGTCTCTAATATTATATTCATATAGCTCCTGAGTGATCTATTCCTGACCTAAACTATTTCCTCTCTGAGTTCTTACCCCTCCAAGTCGAAATCTGATAAACACTCCAGCTGCAGCATCCAGCAGTTCGGCCTGCCACAACAAAATCAGAATTCATTTTGTTTGATTTGGTTTTATTTCATAGGGGTTGCAATTTCCATTACCTCTCGAGGATTGACAGTTTTGAGGATGGTCTTTGGATCCTGCTGTTTGCAGTAGAAAATCAGCTCTTTGAAATACCTGAAGACTTCACTGGCCTGCAATTTGGGTAGATTAAAAAAAAAAGCTGTTCCTACAATTGTGCACATCTGTGAGTCTGTGTTCCCATAGCAGTAGTAGTAGATGTTCCTACCATATATCCTCTCCAAGTCTTCTGAATTATTCTGGCTGCCACCTCCTGCAGTCTCCCTTGTTGGGGCTCGTCCTCCTGCAAGCTACAGAAGAGGAAACATGAGAAGGAAGGACAAAGAGACCGATTACTTTTTACATTACAATATATTGCATAATGTGTCTTATGATGAGAGAACCAACAGTGGGAATATTTACTCTGATTTAGATACTTATTTTTCATATAATCTGGTGGTATGCACTTTTATTTCATTCAAATTATAGTCATTTTAATTGACTTCACATTGCTAATTCACCACACTTTTTTCTTTAGGAGGAATTAAGTTGGGTTTTTTTAATGTATGTTTTCCATTACTTTTAACAAACTGTTAAGGTTAAATGTTATTTTATAGATTAGGACTTTACATATAAAAATGTGCAGCCATTTTGTAAAATATCATACACAGCAGCACATTTGTTGCCTATTAAATAGCCTTAGTAATACTATGCAGATAGCTTGGGGTATAGGTCCAACATAAAGTCTAATAATCACTCACTCAAGAAATTTCTGACATAGCATATTACTGTGATAAAATACAAATTGGGTTTTCTGTGTGTGTGTATGTATCAATAAAACGGCATAAAAACTTCTGCATAATGGAAAAGTCATAAAAAATGTTGTCCCATTATATACAATACAAAAACAACTTGATTTAAAGTTTGCAATTTATCTGGGAACAAAGGCATCAAACAGCTAACGTTAGCTAACTTAAGCCAGGGAAATAAAATATACAGTATTTACATTGTGTGATACACACGTGACTTCTTATCATATGCAAACGTCATTGTGATGTAAAATATACATCACCTCATGACTGCGGCCAATTAATCTCTAAACATATCAGCTGATGGCAGCAGATGTTTTGAAAATATCTCAGTAGGTTACTTGGCAACGTAGCCTGACATTAATTAGTCTTCCGGGAAATACTTTCAAAATAAAATGTTCTTTTGCTCAGTTGTATTACTTAACGGCAGGACATAGACGTTCACTAAGTCAAGACCAAGACTGAAAACCACGTCACGTTTAGAGCCATTTAAACCACCTTTCTTCCCCATTCAGATGCTCAGTTTGACCTTCAATAAACCATGTCTACAAGCCTAAAGCACTGAGTTGCTGCCACATGATTAGGTGATTAGATATCTGCATTGACGACTTATTGAACAGGCATACCTAATATAGTGGCAGATGAGTGTAGTTTTAATATCACTGACCATTAGATGGAGCTCTTTTACAAGTAACCCCCGGCTTCTCTGGTTTTTCCACCACTCTTATGGTTGACATTAATCTTTAGTATGCATATATTTTCTGAAACTTTAGACTCTAACTATATGCCAAATCCTTAATACAATTTCACAACTTTCCATTAGTTGGGATTTGTTTATTTTTGTCACAAAAGGTGGACACGTCCATTAAATATGAATGTTTGAACAGACTTGTCCCCACAAAATGAGCAATACCAGTACCAGCACTCACATACACATACTGAATCAGAAAGGAACTTTTCAAATCTCTAATGAGTAATGTTCTTTTCTCTCAGCCTCTTGACTTGAACAGCCAGGCCAGGCAGCAAGACCCTGTGTTTCTTAGTCCACCCACTCAATTAGTTTGTCAGATAGCGAGGCACAGATTCATCACCCAGCTGTGTGGGATTTCTCCATGCTAATAAGAAACTGCAGCAAATCAGAGCTCTTAATGTTGAAGTGACTTCATGCATTAGCACTAAAAGTCTACCAGAGCCCAGAGCCTGCGCATGAGATTTTATTTCAAATACAGCATACTGAAGGAAATTTAGGAACCCAAAAGCCAAAAAATTGCAGAATTGCCTTGTTTTATCTTGACGGTGCAAAGACAGGTGCTTTCATGAGTCACTGTCTCGACACTATCAAACCAACTCCACCAAACCCAAACGAATCAATCACATTCACACATAAAAATGAGACATTTATATTTCACTTTCTGCCCCTTCAGTTTCATACCAAACATTTAAATAAGAAGTGAATTGCCTGCAGGCGGGCAGAATTTCTCAGCACTCTTTCTATATTTATTAGCTGCTGAATATTCAAACATGCATTTGTGGTCTATATATCACCCAGACTCCAGTCCTGTTTGCTTTCCAGATAAACTGTCCGCATAGCTGTGGACGAGAACATTTGTAGATATGAATTGCTAACTAGACAGATGTCCTTTATGCAAATAGGCACAGAATGCATTTCCCAACCAAAGCCTGTGGGCATGTAGCAAAACTCATTTCACATGTATTCAAAGCAGGAGTCTATTTCTTTTCTCTCTGTGGGGGATGTGCTGTCACTATGATTCCTAACAAGGACAGATATTTTTATATTAGCTAGGCTGGTTTTTAGGGTGAATACTCAAGATATATTAAGATGCCTTTATTATTAGTCCCACGAGTGGGAAATTGGAATTGGAGATAGTTTCAACACAGTTTGGATTCCTGAGTATGTATTGGAATTGTTGATATTTGGCTAACCCTGTGATTTGACTGAAATTTGTGTTGCAAAGGCAACACAAATTTCACACTACATTATAATAGCATGTAAAAAAAAGTACTTGACTGTTAAATCTGAAGTTTGCCTTTCTGATGATACAACTCTCCTCCATTCTGCTTTGTTGACACCTTTGTACTTCATAGCTGCTAACTGAAGCATTGACAAGAAGTTTGTCAAAATGAAGAAAAAATATCTATATCTTGATGCAAGAGTATATGTCAGCAGGCTTAGGTGATAAGAATTTTTTCAATTTACAGACAGAAATGTCAAAAATGTTACAACTATCCCCGGTCTCCCCTACATCATCATCATACAGCACAAATCCATTTAGAAGCTAGTCTAAATAAATGAGTCTTTAGCTGCTTTTTAAAAAACCTAAAGGTGGAGTCAAAGCATTCCACAACCTGGCGCCACCGCTCTAAAAGATCTGACTCCTTTGATCGTAAAACGTGCTTGTGGGACCACCAACAGCCTTTGATTAGATGATCCCAGGCTGTGAGAGGGAGGGTGGGGTTCTAACAGATCAGAGATGTAGGCAGGAGCGTCACGACTCAGAGCTTTAATAGTCAGCACTAAGAGTGAATTCTATAATGTACTGGAAGCCATTGTAATGAGAAGAAAACCTATGTAATGTGCTCTCTTTTTCATGCCTTTGTTAAGAGCCTTGCAGCAGGACTGACTGGAGACAGTTACGATTCTTTTGGCTCAAACAAAGAAAACAGCTGTTACAATAATCTAAGCAAGCCGAAATAAAAGCTTGAATAATCATTTCCAATTCAGATTTAGACAACAACAGTCTGGTGAGGGGTAGTTTGGGAGACTGTGGGTGTTCATAAAGTACCTCCTATTCCTAGACTTTTTCTTTGATGTTGATGAGAAAAGGTCATTGATAAATCGATAAACGCCTGTGAGAAATATCATTACAAAGGTTGGCATATGAAAGAAAGAACCTCTAGGGTCAGATCTACTCGTGTCTGCAGCAGCTAAAAGCCTTCTCTTGACATTAAAAAGCTGTTGGGTTTACTAAAGAGGCTCAGTGTCAGCTTGTGACTGAAAGTTGTGAACAGGAGTGTTTTTGCAGCTGGCCTTTGATTCAAAATCTTAAACACTAAATGGGATTTGAGGCTAAGAAACTCAAACTGAGGATCATCCACAAAGACCAACAAGTCAAAGAAAACAGGCACGTTCTCATTTTTACAATCTCACATGCCAGTGCAACAGGGACTAATATCAGGTTTAAATGTCAACATAATATACTCAGCTTAATCTGTCTCTCAGCCCAGGAAGTCTGAACAGCCCCTGCTATGTAGTTACCAGCACAACAACCTGGATGTGATCCTGATCCCAAAGCTCTACTAAGGGAATAGTTTAAGCTTTTAGCCAATTCATTTCTGTGTTCGGGATTCCCAAAGTAATTCAGAGGGATCAAGGCTCTAATTTTACTTCTAGATTATTTGCACAGGCTCTCCAACAACTTCATTTTAAACATAAATCATTGGTGTGTCATCGTCAAAGTAAGGATTCATTAGAACGCTGCCATCAGCATTTAAATCATTGCTACATGCTTGTTGCACCAAACTGAAGGCTGATTGGCTGAAAGTTTGCCTTGGTGCTTACTGGCAGCCAGAGTAAGTAAGTTAATCCATTTTTTTATATAGCGCTTTTTAAGACATGAAGCTATTAAAAAGTGCTTCTCAAGGAATATAAAAGCGTATCAGACAAAACAACATATTACACAAGACATTACCCAAATGCCTGTCTAAAGATGTGCTTCAGCTGTTTTTCAAATGAAGCCACAGAGTCGATGGTGTGTAGTGGGGGAGGTAAACTGTTCCACAGTGTTGGAGTTAGGGTTTGAAAAGTGCGATCCCCCTTCGTTTTCAAACGGGTCCGTGGAATAGTCAGAAGACCACTGTCACTGGCTCTGAGGATCCTGTTTAGAGAGTTTGAAGGTTGAAAAAGCTCCGCGATATAGGTGGTGGCCTCACCTTGTAAAAATATGAACTTAAAAGTGAGGATTTTAAACTGATATCTGTACAACCAGACGCCAGTG